AAACGTGGTTATGCTGCATCTGCTATAAATACATGTGTTCTCGCAGTAATGTTTGTATCAACTGCTGATTCCCAGTATTTAGAACAAATCAGGCCCCAACCTTCACGAAATTTAAAACAAACAACAAAATTTAATGCCTCTCCATTTGCCTTTTGAGGACACAGCTGGGACCATGGATTAAGGGTGTTTTTCTTGCCACTGTGGAAGTCACATACTTCACTCTTGCGGTAAAAATCAGACCAAATGTGCCATCACTACAGCTCTAGAGCAGAGGCTCTGGGAACCTCAGCATGAGGGTGGCTGGGCTGTAAGCAGTTGTTAGTGCTGATATGGAGTGTTTCAGGAAGACCTCATGCATGCAGCCTCTGTGTTGCGCCCTGGCCTGCCAAATCCTGCCAGTTCCAAGTCAGTGATGTCTGCAGGAGGTTTTTGGAGCTTTGTGGGAAAGTGCAGGTGCAAGGGAGCCCTTCAGAACAGAAGAAGGGAATTTTCCTCAGCTGGCTTGACCACTTCTGATAATGTCTGTGGGAGAAGGTGGAAGATAGGTCATCTTTCTCACTGTGTCCCACCATTTAGAGCTCAGCACAGACCTGGCCATGATCTCCTGTCTGCCTTCTCTGCAGGCTGCCTTTTATTATGGTTACTCTCAGGTGGCCTGCCTGATGTCTCGAGCGGAATCAAAACCTGTATAAGAGAAGCCACCATGCTGAATATAGTGAAGAGAGTGAAAGATCATTTAACCAAAGTTATTATTCTCTTTGCTGGTTACTCCAAGGAAGTCTGGATTTTGGATTGGTGTGCTCTCAGCGATGTGTACTCTTGCAAGGTGCCAGTGGTGAAAAAATTGCAGCTGGAGAGCAAAGATTCTGACAAATCATGGCACTTTTTAGACTTACAGGGCTGCTCACAACACGCACAGTGGTGTATACATTGAAAACTTACTGCATGGGCAGTGAGCAAGTGAATCACAAGCAGCAGACCTCTGTTCACCCAGCCAAACACTGAAGTGTCATAGTTTTTTGTCAGTACCTGTAGTTTTACTGTGCTTTGGGGACTATGGGAGGTTAGGGCACATTAATAGGACAAAAGGAAATGGCCTCAAATTGCACCTGGGAAGTTTAGGTTGGATATCAGGAAAAACTTCTTCACTGGACTTTTCTTCCAGTCAAGCCCTGGAACAGGCTGCCCAGGGCCATGGTGGGGACGCCATCCCTGGAGGTGGTGTTGAGGAGCATGATTTGGCAGTGCAGGGCTAACGGTTGGACTTGATGATCTTAACGGTCTTTTCCAACCTAAATGTCTCTATGATACACTCTTTGGATTTTATTGTTGCCTTGAGATTGCATACTACTGGCTGGCATCCATTACAAGAAGTACTTAGATGCTTCCAAAAGCCCAGATGAGTGAAGATATGGGTAGACCACATCCAGAGCTGTTTTATGACAGCTTATTGCAGTTAATTCCATTCATACAGTTTTCTGACATCAGTGAGTGGAAGAGACCTGTTGATTCTGACTGCTGCTCCACCAGTAAAACCTTTGTCCATCAGAAAATTTTATTTTGATGAATACTTTCCATGTAAAGACATAAGAAAACTTGAAATATTCTCCTTGAAATTTGGCTTACTTTTTTTTTTTTTTTTTTCCAGATAGTCTAATCTGGGCTAACTGACAGGATAGTCCTCTATTCAGTCCCTGATTGTGCAGTCAGCACCCGTTTCTTCACAGCTTCCTCTTCTCATATGGCAGGCTGCCACCAACTTTCCGCTCCACTTTGGAGCGAACAAGAGCCGAGTCATGTGAGATCAGTTCTATGGTGTGCTTGTGTGCAGCAAGGCTAGAATATATGAACCTGTTGTGCTGCAGTGGCTGACCCAAAAGCTGTGGAGAAGGAGACTGGTGAGGAAAGAGTATTATTCTTGCTGCTGTGGCAGAAGGGCATGATGTACTGACAGTTAAGGCCAGTGAAGGCTGGAAGTTCTGCTTGTGTCATCTGTTCCTTCATGCAGGTGACAGTCCACTTCCTGACACTGCTGTCTGTTGTACCACTATGTGGTCATATGTTCTCAGGACTGCGAAGGCTCTGATTTGCTCTTCAAGTCAGTATTGTTCTTGAAGAGCAAGCATCATCCCTTGAAGAGGGACTCTCTTCTGGTCCCCCCTGAGACACCAAACAATTGCTATCTGGATGGCTCAGTTAGCCATGCCAATAGCTGAGATGTCTTTGTTTCCTCTGACAGAGTTTAAGGATCTTTGTGTATTAGGATCCTAGCCTACTCAGGCTGCTTAGTGACGTGTTCAAGGGCTTGGCTCAAAAATAGTTGCAAAGGAGTGGGTGAGAGGACTCAGGTCAGAGCTTTGGTAGGATATCTTTGCAGCAAGCAGGAGGTTCCAGCTGAATAAGCATGATGGATATGTGCAAAAGGCTCAAGAATTCTGTCTCACTATGAGATGGGAGACTGCAACCTTGCATTTTGCACTGTTATAGGGAAATATCTGCCAAAACTATCTCTTCAAAGATGCAGATTGTTTTGCTGAAACATTCTGCTTTACTGAAAGGACAGTGTGGGGCAACAGATTTCCCATCCTACAAGCTTTTGTTTCCTTCAGAAAATGCTGCGTGTTGGCAAGTGTACTCATTTTTGGTTCAGAGCTACTGCTCAAATACAGGAGCAGTGTGGCTGAAGGACCGGTTTTGAGTTGTGTTGCATAAGTAAGAGCAGCCAAGAGGATGCTCAGGCACAGAACTCCGAAAGGGTTGAATTCTGTGGCCCTCTTTTCTGTCCATTACTGCACAGGCAGGTAGTGAAATGGACCAGAATGGCTTCCTG